TTATTTACCATGGTATGAGCTTTTATGGTCGGTTCTTAATTACCGTGGTAAAATATGATTAAATGGTTAAGTATGTGGTGTGATTAGGTAATATTATATATTTGATTCTCCAATCTCTTCTTCCTTGTTGATACGCTTCTCACTCTTCTAATATTTCCATCCACGCTAGTTTCCACCTGTTAGGTTGTTGGGTTTACTTTTTTTTTTTTTTTAAAAAAAAAGGGTTTCAGTTTTTGTAATAAGTTGCTACTTGATTTGTCTTTCCGGGTTGCTGGGTTTGATCTACGTCGTCCGCTTTTGCTTCTTTTTTTTTTTTTTTATTGAGTCTGACTATGGCTAGGATTTTCTGATCATTTTCTAGATTTTTTTCTTGTTTCTAACACTTGATCTCTTTTTTTCATATCTCAATTTGGGTATTGATTTCTTTAGATTGTTGTTGGTTTGATTGTGATTTAGAAGATTTCATTTTTGTGAAGCAAAATTGGACAAGATGCTAAGAAGACAGGGGGAGAGAGTAATTTTTTTTTTAAAAAAAAAATCTAACTCATTTGCAAGGTGCATGACTTGAGTGACACATGGGCTACCAACTATATAATTTTAGTTAAAAAAGTTGACAGTCAAACTTAACTAGAATTGTGTTACGATCACTCTTCTCAATCAGTATAATAACAAATGACATGGATAATTCTCAAGAAAGTAACGTGGATTAGCTTCCACTAATGAAAATTAAGTATATATGGTAAATCAAAGTTGCATAACAGGGAAATTAGCAAGAAGAAGAAGGGATATGATAGAAGAGAAAGAAATATTCAAAAAGAACCGAAGGAGACTCGAGCGAGCAAGCTTTCACAAATCCTTCTATGCCTCTCTTCATGCCTTGATATTCACCCCCTTAAGCCTATTGAAATAAGCTTTGGGCCCAACATATCTCTTAATCCATCCATAACACACCCTTCCTCATAAAATGAGCCTTGGCCTCAAGGTCCAAGCTTGGAAAGTAACTTGAACAAAATTTAGAGTTGTACAAGAAGGTGGATCAAGACCATTCCAAGAAAATATCATGTAATAGATCCAATAGTAGTAAATCATGTGGTATGAGTGTGTTGCACCTTGACCCATTCCATAATGCACTGTATCAGTAAAAACTAAAGGATTAAATGAATTTCACATTGGAGTTGGGCAGCAGCAGCAAAACTCCCATTCAAGTGCAAAGGATTCAAGAGATTATATTGATATGGGCAACTTGCCTTGGTAACAAATTCCAATGTCATGGTAGCACCCATAGGCCAAACTAAATGATGCAACTATGTTATAAAAAGAATTCAGAGTCTAAATATTAATCTTATTATCACCCATTACCCCTTAATTTGCTTGGCTGTGCCAAAAAGAGAATATTTCTCAGCCCATCAAAGCTACTTGTTGTCCAATAATCATAGAGCCAAATAATATTGCCATTCCGCAAATCAAACATTGACTCCCATAATCTTAAACTTAATGCAAGTGTAGTCTCACCATATATGCCTCCATTTTGAGAACATATAAACAAATTGCTATGAACAAAAAATTCAAAATGAGCATCATTAATGTGGAAAGTTAGTACTCATTTTGTAAGGATAATTTCTTGAAACTCACTTCCAAGTATACCATTAACGCACCCCTGTGAAATAGCACCATGACTTGATAATGGAACCAAAGTGTTGATTGTACAAGTATCACATATGACGGCAATGTGTTGCAGGAGGAGGCTGATTCATAACCCCGAGCATCCCAATAATCATTTATTTTATGTACCTTACATGCATCAAGGAAATTACCAAGAGTTTCTTCTATCTCTTTTACTGATCTTGCACGTTGTAACTCATCATAAGTAGGGATGGGGGCACCATAGAACAATCTATCAGTAAAATATTTAATTGATGCAAATGCCCTGTGCCCCACATCTTGAACATGGTATGGTGGAAACCTCCCAAAGGCAAACACAAGTAACCCACAATAGAGGAAAAGTTAAAACACTCGTAGTTGCAAGCTAATAAAGCCAATATAGCCTTGTTGTCCATATATGCGTTGTATCACATTGCCTAGGACCATTTGGACATTAAGGCAAAGAATCAATCCAAATTATGCTTAAAGCTCTTTAATGGTTATAGTGAAACATCTAGCAGTCCTTAAGATTACATAGGCAGAGCAACGGACTGGTATCTAATCTTAAAAAATCTCAGGCTGATGTATAATTAATATAAGTGCACAAGACTCTCTAAGATCAAACACCATAATATAAAATAGAGACAATGGTTGAGAATCAATACTTAAGCAAAATTCCTCCATGGACTTTTTTTTAGTCACAAAAAGATAAAAGGAGAGTAAAGAGATCATGAAGTAGCCAAATCTTAACCTCCCATGCATACCATGTCAAGGTGGAATTAGTAAAAGGAAGCCAAATACCAGAATCAAATATTAACACAGTATGAAACCCAATATCCAGTAGGAGGCAATGATCAATTGTGACTTTGAACATCCGTATGTCATCAAATATAGCAACTGGTAATTGCAAATTTATAACTTCAAAAAGCAAAGACGTATTCCTCTTGACCGCTCCTGGATAAAAAATGAGCTTAGCATTTGAGCGAACAAAATCTGACGCTGATCCAATAATAGCAATAGCAAGTAATTTCCTCTGTCCTTTGAAATTATTATTAACCAAAGAAACTTTTAAAGAAGCCAAACTGAATAACCTAGTAAAATCACTGGGGTAGACTATTGAATCCCACAAAGCAATAGCTGGGAACCAAAAAATGCTAAAGCGACCGAGATCAAACATCAGTTGTATATGCAAATACTTATGTAGCATATAGCGGCCTCCAATGTCAAGAAAGTCAAGAATGAAGTTAAACAAGCCTTCGTTGAGCCATATTTCTTGAATCAAATGTGATACAAAGTGTCTAGTTGTGGATCATTCTCTCGATATCCCAACCTTTGATCATAGCTGTGGCCAAACTTTGCTCTATTATTTGGCCCACAACAAAAACACCTTCTGGAATTGGACAGGGTTTTAGGTCAATGGTTGATTGCAGGATGAATTCAGACCATAGAGAATTGTTCTTTAAGAGCCTCTCAACTCTATTATCGAAATCCTTACACTTAAAAGGAAGATCTTTGACGTGTGGCAGATGCGCTTCTCTAGCCAGAGACGGATCAGCTTTTGCGATTGAGGTACGATTCGTTCCAGATTCAATGAGCGCCAGAGTTATGTAGTCCTTGGAGTCATCCTCTTCATTGCTGGAGGATGAAGAAGAGATGCACTCCATTTCTGGTTAAATCAGCAACGGCGGTTCATGACCTACTACTAGTGATTCGATTAGTCATTTGCGTGCATCTCTTGGTTCTGAACTCGATTGTGGATTTTTGATGGAGTCGGAGCTTAGAGGTTAGATTGGCAACCTGGATTTCGATTCATTAGGGGTAATCATCCCAGAGTCCGAAGACGCAGTGGCGGAATGCTGAATCAAGAGCTCCACGTTGCGAGATATCTCTTAAGAGGTTTCAGCGCAACTCGGCCATGGTCTGCTCAAAGTGGTATGTGCAATTGGTGTGTTCCGCCATTAAGTCTCTCAATGAAAGAGCCTATGTTATGATCACCCTTCTCAATCAATGTAGTAACACATGACACAAGCATAATTCTCAGAAAAGTAAGACGTATCAGCTTCAACTAATGAAAATTAAGCACCCATATGGTAAATCAAAGTTGAATAACAGGGAAATTAGCAAGAAGAAGAGGGATATGACAGAAGAGAAAGAAAAATATATATATATATATATATTTTTTGATAAATGAGAAAGAAATATCTAGAAAGAAGGGAAGGGGACCCAGGGGAAGCAGGCTTAACAAATTCTTCTATGCCTCTCCGTTGTTTTTTCTTCGGCCTTTTATTGCCAACTTCAACGCCTTGACTCCCTCTCCACTCAAGCCCCTGAAATAAGCTTGGGCCCCATATATCCCTGGACCCATCCATAACAAATTGGTGGCAGGGACAAGAATGAACCATTTTTTTAAGATTTAGGGGGAATAATGTATCGAAAGTATTGTCTATGGCATTGGGCATTCTGAGGGTATAGTGTTTAATCCAAAATAAATTATCATATCTTAATATATAGAATGAATTATCATCTAAAAATCAATAAACATATCTTCATCGGAATTACATTCATTTGTAGATTGGTGCAAATAACGTGTTGTAAAATAAAAATAATAGAAAATTAGACAAGAGAGAACAATAGAGACAAGAAAAATAATTTTATATTCCTAAATATCTCATTACAAATGGCTTGTTCCATTAACTATAAGCATGGCCTTACATATTAAAGGTCTCATCATATTAATATCAAATATATCCATTAATGTAAGTGAGAAATAAACCTCATGAATAGTGAGATCATTCACACACATAATTCTTGATATTCATAACACTATTTTATTAATTATTCCCCTGATTAAAATATATTTCTAGGTAAGCTCAAATAACCGTAAAATGAGTTCTGAGAATAAAAATAAACAAGTAAAAATGTATATTATTTATCACTACACTAATTACCCGGTTCTTTTTATAACTTATAATAATAGTCCTAATATATAGGACTCAACGCATAAATATATAGTAAACAAGTTTAAGTTTGAATCTCACTCAATAATAATTTCATAACATTACATTGTTTAAGACAAAACAAGACCAAGATGGAACAATGATAAAAAATTATCATATTATATTGCCCGCTCTTTTTTTTTTTTTTTTTGGTTTCAATCCCTCTTGAAATTAAACCAACATTACAACTTATTCGATCAATTCAAGATAACTAAGGTAAGATAGATCAAATATCCACATATAAAGTCTAGATTATACTTTTCCTAAAATGGAAACATTATTTGACGTCGCTACTTAATAACATATATGGACCGAACGACAGTATTACATTCGTCGTTTTCAGGGGCACGTTTGTGGTTGGGCTCAAGTCGTTTTGGAGTGAACGCCAGCCTGAACTTTAGCACAGTATTCAAACAAACTGCCGTCGTAGCAGCGTCTCACAGCTTCTTTTGAGAGGAAACCCTCTCCATCTCTTGCCAGAATGTATAGAATCCCCCCACTCCACCTTTACCTGCTGTCCTGCAAATATATATATATATATATATAACCAAAATATTATTATTGTTATTTTCTGTAAGGTTTATCCATCGGTATCCCTCTCTTTCCAATTTCAGGTAATTTTCTATTTTGATCCATTAAATTTTTTTAACATTTTTCTTAATTCTGTTCGTTTTTTTTATTTTATTTGATAATTATTCTCTAAACGTAAGAGAAATAAATATAATATTTTAAATTTTTAAAAAAATCAAATGACTTGTACACTTTCAATTTATTTATATGATCCCTCCATTGTATATTAGGGTGCCATTTATATGATTTGAGTTATTTATAAAATGATTATTCAAACCTAATTTTTTTTTAAAAAAAAACATGGTTCATAGTTCACTTTTTATAAGTCTGGCGGGAGATCATATATCTCAGGCATACGATAAACTTTTTTTCCAAAAGTTTCGAGTATACTTAAATTAATAATGATATACTTGTATTCATTAAGTTTATAAAAGATGCCAATCTTTTTTAATCTATTAAAATAGCTTGACAAGGATCATTAAGCTCTAATAAGGAGAGACTTAGCAGATTGAGAAAAGTTGTTAACCTCTTTATAAAGTTAATAGATACTCATACATCATTATTGACATCATTATTGACTTAAGGATACCAGAAGTTCATGAAAAAAAAATTCTAAATATTTTTGCAGTTTAACACTCTAACACTATGTATTTTAGAGGACTTGAGAATATCTTCACATCATTTAGCAGAAAGAATACCGAGAGGAAGATAAAGAAGTGATTTACCAGCCGTAAGGGTCGAAAGCATCGCGATTTCCCTCAGTCATTTCCCAGATCTCTCCAAGTGTCAGATGCTCTGGTTTTGTTTTAGCGTACTTACTGAATATGTTCTCCAGATTTGCTGCTACATATCTGCACAAATTTAAAATGTCTATAATAAATAATGCAATTTCTTAATAATATATATTATATCATATAATAACATATTAATGTATTAAAATCATGCATTGTATACTCACAATTCATCACCACTTCACTTACCAAAAACATATGTGATTCAAATGGCACTCACATCTCATAATGAGAAGATATTTGATAAAGTAAACAATTATATTTAAGCAATTTAATTTTTTTGGCCTGATTTATATTTGAAGTAACCAAAGTTTAAGTATTTATATTTGATTTCTAAATTTTGGATTTAAGTGAAGTTTAAATTTTCACATTAAGCCTCCAAAAATATATTTTTAACTTGATAAAAAACTGAAATTCAAACATAAGTACCATTCAAATCATTCTCAAGAGGAACAATGTCTCATCTCAATTGAGTAAACAGTCTGAATTCTATTTTTTTAATTTTGAAAATATATTAAAAATACATAGTTTACAGCCATGTATTCTTTTCGGTTTTTCATATGAAATATTAACCAAAATAAACAAAAAAGAAAAAAATGTTACAATTAAACCATACAAGTTAATCTAAACCATAACAGAATTATATTATATTATACTATATTATATTATACTTAATGAACAATAATTAATGATGCATTCACTTACCGGCCTTCGGTATCATAAGTTCCGGAGTCGCTCCCATGCTTGATTCTGTGTACGTTGTGAATGTAAATAGGAAACAACAGAGAAGGAAACCAATTCTGCATCGTATTCAAATCACACCTATTGTTTAACTATATCGCTAATAATGAGCAAAACAATTTTTTTTAGGCCTGAATGAACAAAGCAACTTATACCAACATTCATGAGATATATATATATATATATATATTTGCCGCTTGATTTGTTTTCTATAATTTTTAAGGACTATTAAAATTTTTAGTGTTTTTAAACAAGGATCAAATTCATAAAAATAAAATTGATCATTATTTAAAAAAGTAAAGGCTCTAGTGTACATTTAATCTTTTAACTTTAAACAATATTTTATTTTAGTTTTTTAACTTTATAAAGTATATTTTTGGTCCTTTAACCTTAAAACTATTAGCTTTGTTTCAATAAATTTTTACATTAAACTTTCAAATATTGAAAGAACATTCTCGTTGAGATATTAAATTTATTTTTTTAAATAACAATGATTGACACAAAAAAAAGTCATTTTAATTAAAAATGTTAGGATTAAAGGACCAAAAAGATGCTTAACAAAATTAAATGATTAAATTAAAATTTTATATAAAATTAAATGATTAAAAGTATAATATAGCCAAAAGTAAAATTACATAAATATTAAAATTTTACATATTTTCGAGGTAACCTTTGTTCAGAAAATACTGTCTCACTCTGTCAATTAACCCCCTCCCCCAAACACAACAAATAAAACGCTAAAAAAAATCATTATTAAAATATTTTAAGCCTTATCCTTCTTTGATTTTACTATTAGCAGTTTGAATTTGGATCTAAACCTTTACCTCACCAGACTTTTATAACTCTAAAAATATTTGAAATTGTGAAAGCAAATGATTTTGTCTTTAAAAGGCAGAGTGGGAGTTATAAATCTAAAAAGTTAAATACATAAATATTAAAAACAAAATATTTATGTAATTCCTTTATGTCAAAAGCTCAAACCCTCCTTGTATATTAAAAATCATATATAAAATAAAATAAGAAGACTTACAGGTTGAGTTGGATAGCTCATTGCCAAGGCGATACCAATTGCCATAATGACAGATGCAACAATATTAAACCCAAGTGCTCGCATCCCTGCATAATAATTAATTTCTTTATAAACCTTTTATTTTTATATCAAATTTAAATTAAACTTGACGTATATATCTAAACATTATCTGCAAGTACTCGTGCGCGTACGATTGAAGTTTACTAAAAGAGTGAAGAGAGAAATATTAATAGGTGGCCAGATTTATTTGGAACTCAGATTGAAAAAGGGGATAACATAATTTTTAATTATCGACTTAATTATGACACGATTAATTAAAATTTGTTGATGCAGATAACAAAATATGACAGCCAGATAAATTAATGAAAATAAGCGTAATTATTCAGTAATTAGGAAAATAAATTTTAGAATTTTAAAAACAAGAAAACAAAATACAATGTGTGTAAGGGATTGTATGTAAGGGATTTTATTGATACTAACTTACATGAGGGTTAATTTATTTTCATTTAGCTAACTAAATATACATGTCAAGTCATCAATAAATTTTACATATTAGATTATTAAAAATTAATATATATTTTAAAACTTAAAGAACTCATTAAAAATTAATATATATTTTAAAACTTAAAGAACTCACATAATAATTTAAGAAAAAAATATAAATGATCAAATTAATAAAAGTTAAACTTGAAAAACTAAATTAAAAATTGAATCAAACTTGAAGTATGGGAAAGAAAACTCATTCATTTTTTTCTCTCTTTCTCTCACTTTGCTAGAGTAAAGTGAACATAAGGAAAAAAAAATATTGGGAGAATGATAAATAAAGACTTTATAAGAATATTGATGTCAAATTAAGATTTTTCAATATTAATATTCTCATATTTAAGTGCTCCTTCATTCATGTTTCAGTACTAAAGTTCTTAATTTAATATTAATATTCTTATAAGATCCTTACTTATTATTCTCCCAATTTTTATTTATTTCTCACTTTCTCTCTCTTTCACACACAAAATATTCTTACCCATGTAAGTTTCCCAGGGGTAAATGATGCCGTCACCATCTTGATCGAAGAAAGCACAATGTTGTTGCAGAACTGTCAAGTTGTTGTGTCTGTGCCCACGGGTTCCATGCGGATGACTTGTATCAGGAGCAACCAATGCTCTAGACATGTCTGAAACCAATCCATACATATACATGCCAATAATTTATAACAATCGTAATAACAATCCTAATAACAAAAACAATATTAACCCTAATATTAATACTATTGTGTGTGTGCGTGTGTACAAGAGGACAATGAAACTTACAAGGCTTTGGAATGTAATCTTCCAAGTCATCCCTAACCCTTCGTTGAGCAGTAACAGGTGCATTAAGAGCCTCACTTGTCATTGACTCCTTCTCCATGGATACGTCTCGAGCCATTTAATTTGGTCTTTTTCTCTCACCTTTCTTCTTCTTCTGCTTCTTCTTCTTCTTCGGAATATAGCAGAGTTTGTTGTGTGTGTATAGGTTAAAGAAATGCAATAGGAAAATTAAAAAAATGAGAAAGCAAAACTTCATTCGGCGGTGGGTGGAGAGAGACTGCATTAGGATATAGATGGAGACACGAGGACGAGCCAGCAACGATGTGGTTATGTACGTGGCATGCATGCACAAATCTTTGTGTGTCTGTTGTGTCAAGATTCAGTAGCAACGTATACGGCATATAATAAATATGTAAACCACCGATTTTATGAGTGAAAATTTCCAATCTGAATATTTTTTTTAATGGGTCAATGCATTTTTGGATTGGTCCCCCGTCTAATATATGCATACACACTAACGAGTTTGTAGTTTTATTATTTATTGGAGAGAAGGTTAATTAGATTACATGTTTGTGAGGCCTCTTCAGGATGGAATCATCAATCATCAATAGATTATACGAAATTATACCATAGACTATACTTGGATAAAAAAAAACCAAATCAATAGATTACACTGTAAATTAAAATCTTTGTGATCGATGGCGCGCTTTATTGTTCATGCATTTAGGAAATAACTCCTTTAAGAAAATATCATTCAAGGATGATTAGGGAGATTTAACATCAAACAAAGACCAAAAGATTATCAGATATCACTAAAAGATCAAGGAATTGAAATGCAATTAAAAAAAAGACAAAACTACCCCTTGCATTTTTTTTTTTAAAATCCCCCATAGTCACTAGCTGTTAGAACATTGCTGGCAGCGGCCGGATACCTAGCCACCTCCAGCCAAGCCACTAAAAGAATTGATTGCCACTAAGCTATCAATACTCCTTAATTGTATATTACACCAAATTTTTATATAACATCAACTCTATTTTAGTTTCCAAACCACTACTTGTCAAGAATTTAATGTTTACTTATTAAATTACTAATTGAGACTTGTTAAAAAATTTAACATCCACCAATTTTTATAAATATTTAGTTTTTCTAACCAAAAATTTGCTCGTTAAAAGTTTACATGAACTTGGGAAATGATTAAAGTTTTTACTAATATTTACTTGTTAAATTACTAATGGATGTTGTTAAAAAACATTTAATGTGTACTAATTTTTATAAATATTTACTTATTTTTATTATTAAAAGTTTATTCATCAAAAGTTTGTGTGAACTTATTATAATATTAGAAAAATTCACTTATCAAATTATTAAGTGAAATTGTGAAAATTAATAATAGAGACTTGTCATTTCAATAATACTTAATTATTAATGGGGACTTGTAAATTACTGGTGCACCATTAATGGAACACACTACCCCCTTTAGAGTTGAAATTAGCTTGAGGGACTAGTGGAACACAGATGGCACGAAATCTGGATCGACCAGTCACGCGAAGATAAAGTCGAATTGCCCCGTCGCACGAAGACAAAACTCAATTTCTCAATTGCTCTTTTGTAGAACTCATATCCCAAACGCCTGCAACCACTCTCTGGTGAATTGAGATCCCTAATCGCCCTCTTGCCTTTTGTTGAATAAAAATCGAGTTGAAGCTCACTAGTGAACAACAATTCCAAATCGCATTAGGTTGCCCTTCAAAGTTTTAGAGTTTCAGAGTTAAAGGTCATTTGTCTTCCATGAGTCCCTCAAGTGATTTCCAAATGTAGAGAAGGTACGTAACGTGTTTATTGGATGAAACATAAAGGAGGGGAAAAAAGAAAAAAGAAAAAAAGAAAAATAGGCATCAAATGAAAAATTGAGAGAAACTATAGGTACCAATGTAATAAAATGACACTCACTAGTGTGAAAAACAAGCCTTTTTATGTCACTTTGTCAGTTTCGCTGACCAACGTCGGGAAAAAAACAGGTGGCAGACACAATAATAAGTTAAACATTCTACATCGGTTTTGGAGCTAACAGATGTAGATAGATGAAAAGACAACTATTCTATATTGGTTAACTAGAAAAATTGACGTAGAATCTCATTAAAACCATGTCATTTATTTCCAAAATGATGCCGATAATTAATTCTGCATTAGTTTTGTCCAAATCCGACATAGAATGATTGTATTTTTCCTCTACTGTTACCTGCTGAACTCCCTCTTTTTTGCATTTAAAAAACACGCAAACAAATGTCGGAATTGTCGCAGCTGCCCAAAAACCTCCATCCTCCATTTTCAGTGTCGAAATCTAGCGGGCAAGTAATTTTTCTCACTCATTGTAGCATCTTTTTCCCGAAGAAAGCCCTTTAAAACTCATTTTAAACCTTAGGTAGCATGGGCTGGTTAGATGTGTTGGGGTTAGATGTGTTGGACATAATGACTTATAATAATATATTTTATTTAAATTTTTATGATGATGAATATTTATTAATTAACTATATACGTATTATTGTTTTTATAAATGTAGTAGTTAACGATAATTATAAAACAAGTGTTTTAAAAGTATTTTCTACCTATATTATTTCACATTATATGAGATTTGAAAAAATAATTTATGTGAATAAAAATTATTTTATACTATCATTTTTTTTTATCTTTAAATGATTATATATCCAAGAATGTTCAAAGTGTTATTTTCATATAACTTGGATATTTACATAGTATAAGACTTTTCATATGCATGACATTATAACTTTTATATTTATTTTCACTAGTGCAAAATAGAATTTTAATGACACATTTTTCGCCACAGTTTCTCAAAAACCTGTGGTAATATATGTGCAAGTGGCTTTTTCATAATTAAATACTTATGTATTCCATTTATAGCTACAATCCTAAGATTAACTGTCGCCATAAATGAAATTATTAAAATAAATTAATTTAATTAATTTTAAAAAATTAAATCATTTAATTTAATTAATTAGTTAAAGTAAATTATTACTCAATTGTTTATTACCTAAATAAAATTAATTTTAAAAATAACTATAATAAATTAAATTAATTAATACATAAATAAGTAAATTATTTATTTAAAAATTTTAATTTTAATAAATTAAAATAAAATTTAGTAATTAATAATATAATTCTAATAAATTATGTTCATTAAGTATTTCTAATTTTAGGTAAATTAATTTTTCTTAAATAAATTAAATTAATTAAGTGTTTTTAAAATTATTATATCTTATTTTAGGTTAATATGTTTGAATTTCAGACATAATTAATATGTTTGAAATTCAAACATCTTCACAGCATAATGTCGTGCCTTTGTCCAGATCTCCATTTCCCTCAACTCATTTCTCGCAACTCGTTTCCTTTAACTTGTTCCCCTCAGCTTGTTTCCTTCAACTGCCATCGCTACCGTCATCCCTTAGCTCGTTTCCCTCAGCTCGTTTCCCCTTAGCTCGTCCTCTTCTCCAGCTCTGCCGTAGGTTCTAGTTGTACCGTCCAGCTACTTTCCCATAGCTCGCCTCCAGCTGTATTTCTCACAGCTCGTCTCTCCGCCTCTCCAGCCATTGCCGCCGCCAGCTGCTATCTCTTCCGGATTTCATCTATAAGGTTGTTTTTTGGGCAATTTTTTAGCTACTTTTTTGTACTTAATTATTTTTAGCTTCTAATTTTTTTACTATTTTCTTATTTCCTTTTCCCACTATTTTTTAAGTTTATTTGTTGGGTTAAATTTTGATTGTTACTTTTTATTATTTATTACTTAATTAGTTTATTTTTTTATTACAGCTTGCCTCTTGTTATTTTTTAAGTTTTTTTAATTTTTTTCAAAGAATTATACTATTGACTATTGATTAGAGTTAATAATTATTAAAATTTCAATTAAAATTTACTTAAATTGATCAAATTGAGAGTTTGGTACTTGAAAAATCTTAATTTAAAAGTTGTTATGCTGTCGATTTTTTTTTAATTTTCATGATATTAATTTCTTTTATTTAATATAATTAATTTCTTTTTAAGTTTGTTTGTTGGGATGAATTGTGAACCCCATTATCATAAATTATACTGTTGATTATTGATTAGAGTTGATAATTATCAAAATATCAATCATGGTTTACCTAAATTGATCAAATTGAGGATTTAGTGCCTGGAAAAATCTCAATTTACAAGTTGTTATGTTGCCAATTTTTTTTAAATTTTTATGATATTAATTTTTTTATGTTTAGTATAATTAATTTCTTTTTTAGTTTGTTTGTTGGGATGAATTGTGAACCCCATTATCATAAATTATAATATTGATTATTGATTAGAGTTGATAATTATCAAAATATCAATTGTGGTTTACTTAAATTGATCAAATTGAGGGTTTAGTATCCGAAAAAATCTCAATTTACAAAATAATGTGATATTAATATAAATTAATATATTGTAGTTATCATTGGATGCTTCCTGTCATTTGCCCGTATGAAAATATTATATATTAGTTTTGTTCACTGAAAAAGAAAGTAAGCGATGACATGAAGTCTTTGATTGAATTGTAAGTTTTTAAATAATTTCATTGTGCTATTAATAATATATATTTAATATTTTTTAAGTGTGTATATTTGATAAATAGATCTTTAGCGACATATTAGAAATTAGCAGGAATGATTGACAAGAAAAAATAAAATAAAATCAAGTTTGTACCAATGCAAGTACGTATTTCAAATTTATTCCTTAATTAGAATGAAGATTATAATATTGGTTTAATGAATTTAATTATTTCTATTTTCTTTATAGTGTCCTTAACAACCAAGAAGTGTAGAATGCGGTTATTATGTGATGATTTTTATGTATGAAATCATCACTCAAGGTATTGTTCACTCATTTGATCAAGTAATAATTTATAAATAATGATTTATAAATATGAAGTTTTTTATATACTTGAGTTATTATTCATACATATATTGTTATTCAAATTTGCAGCACTTCTAAAGTTTAGAGCCATATTCTAAGCAAGAGTTGAAATATATACGCAATGTGGTCTAGTTTTTTCTTAGAATTAATAGGATTAGAGTAGAAACTTTCTAGATATTTTGTAT